TTAATACATTTCATGAATTTGTACAAAAAATAATGTACGCAACTCGAATGAAACTATCTTTGAGGTACTCATTTCAAAACGCCAAATCAACATGTCATTCGCACGCCAAATACTCACTTTCTGCACTGGTTACGTAAATACCTATATTCGGAGTGACAGGTTGCGATAATGCTTTCACCTTTGACCTCAGGGACTGCTGTTCGTATGCTGACGGATCTGGGATATGGAATTTCCGGTGAACAATGAGTTAGCGGCAGGTTTTCACGAAATATTCTCGCCCGCAATGCTTTTCACCCCACTCCCGCTTTGAGGCAGGACAGTGCAAAGCCAGGGGGAGAGCGTGCGAGAGTCCCCTTGCAAAGGGCGTTAGTCCGACCTATCACCTGTCACCTTCGGCATTTTTGTTGGAACATGTCCCGTAGTAGGCGGTCGGGAAAGCGATAAAACCGTTGCTTGTGAGAACACGGTGGGGCTGATGAAAACCGATGGATTGGTATGTCGCCCGGAGGCTAGAAGTAGGCGGACAGGAGGTTCGATGCGCGCGGGCAAGGGGCGGTCGGGTGACGATGGGGTAGGCGAGCCTCGTGCGGGGCGCGGGCGGGGCGCGGGCGGGGTGCGGCCGGGGCGGGGCCGGAGCGAGAGGCCTCGGCATGACGTGCTCGGGATCGATGCGCCCGTGTACATGGGTAATTATGGCGACAGGCTCGGGCGCAGAGTCCCCAAACATTAAAATGCACGTTTATGTTTCGTGTACGAGCTAGCGGTCTGACAACACCGGGGAACGAGGGGCTTCAGTCCCCTTGAGGCCGAAAAGCGAAGCGACGAAACCTTGCTAGCGCGGCCGCTGCCACGACGTCTGACACGGTCTCCCGTTCGCATTCGCCGCTGCGCGCTCGTTCCCACTTCCCTCGCAGTCGCCCCTCGCAGTCGCCCCTCGCTGTCGCTCCTGCTCTGCCGCTGCACGCTGGCTTCCCTCGCGGCCTAGAATCTTCATCATCACGCAAATACGTTTCTTTTGGAGGGTGGGGATGCATCTGTCGTGTTCAAAAAAAAGGAAGATTCAGCAGATAGGAAGATACCAGAGTGTGTACAATGATCCTGCCTACATTTTTATCTAGAACTAGAAGCATTCATTATACATTATATGGGTAAAGCTTTAATATGGAATCTCTCTATCTCTCTCTTACACACACGTACAAATACACACACATACACTATGTGATCAACATTCATTTTCAGCCATATATATATATATATATATATATATATATATATATATATATATATAATTTCTCTGTTCCTAATTTTCAGCGCAATTAGTATCCAATCTGTTCAGCTGGCTTTTATACTTAGGCGTTTATTCGTACATATCTTTGGTTCACTTATTGTGTTATTCTCAGGTTTTCGTTGTACTATTTCTTTGGGAACTCACATTTTTCTCTTACTTCCTTGTTTCATAATTGGTCTGAAAGCACAATTTTGCAAACTTTGTCCCAGAAAGTTCGTTAAAATCGTCATTAATCTATTCCCTATTTCAGTTAATTAAAGAGAACTGAAGAGCTTAGTACTTGGATTGAAATGGCTAATGGTTACTGCTCTGCTTTCATACCATACTTTCACTAAATCGTGATATTAACATTGACGAGTATCAAAAGCTTGAGTTGCTTATCGTGACTGGCCTATGTTCTTCTTTTACATGAATGAATTGCCAAAGGATTCATCGTGAGAAAATTCACATTACGAACCCATATTACCTTAACAAATGTGACAGTTGCCCCTAAATGTTATGCAACTCTGTTTGCAGAGATGTTCGGCATGTACATGAAATCTCCTCGACCGCATCAAAATGTGACCAACGGATTAACTGTGAATGAGATATTTGACAATCAGGGTCGTATGTCGTATTTAAACCTGTTTGTGTATATATATATATATATATATATATATATATATATAT